ATACAGCAAAAAATAAATGATGAAAAATAGGTTTTAATCTAAGCAAGTCTTGTAGCTTTTAGTAGAAAAGAGGGGAGGGAGATGAACTAGCAAAATGCTCTTATTTAATCCATAGTACGTAATACAAAATTTCAGGTCTGTCTTTGAACTGGTTTTCTGGATGTCCTATTTATTTATTTATTTTTAAAAGATAAATTACTTTCTGGGACACTTTACCTACATATGTAGCAAAGCCTTTGTGAAGATTAGATTTTCCATATGAGCAACGATTAAATTTCTTTATGTGTGTTTAAAGAACAAAGAACTACTAATCTCTGGAGTTACATCTGAAACAAACTGTTCTATATGGGGAAAAAATGTTTTTCCAAACAGACAATACCACAAATGAGATGCTAGATTTAATTCCTTCCAGCTATATACAAGGGAGTATGTCTCCATTAATTACTTCCTGCCGTATCATGTTGAAGTGGAAAGATAGAGAAGCACGATTCAAGTAATGTGGATTACTGTGTAGTGCTAATTTGTGAAGATTTCTGAGTTCCGCTTAAATATTGCCAACATTTTGCATAAATTCTACTTTTCTGTTATGTCATTTCCTCTTCCATCTTACAATTTTAGCCTGAATAGGTTGGCAGCCATTTACTAAAATTTTGTGGCTGGCTTGATCAGAGAGCAGTAAGCAAAAATAAGTATTAATACTCTGTGTTACAGCTAAGAATCTGGTGTGCTGCTGCAGTTACTTGTTTAATGCAATATTTCAGAGCTAAAACTCGATACATGGTGTGTAGTGTAGTCTTCCTGTTATAAAAAGTTAGTTTGTTTTGTGAAGATTGAATAATAATAATAGTAATAGTGCAGAACAGGTGGAGGGCAGAGAAGCAGACTTAGAAAGAATGAATAAAAGTTTCTGCCTGTTGTTTCACTGAATGGCTTTGGCCAAACAAGCCTTCAAGGCGATCTAACTTAGAATCAAAAAGGAAGACAAGAAAGTGTTTGTCTGTTCTCTCATCAGCTTCTTTATAAGGCTTAAAGATGTCTTGAGTGCTGCTTTTCTTTTTCCCCTTCTCTTTTTCCCCCTTTATTTAGAAGGTTAAGGGCTGTCTAGACTGGAAGATTGAGAAGTGGCAAGCTACACAGATGATAAAATTACAAACAACGAGCTTGAAAGCTGAGCAAAGGGAAGGATGGATGCTTAATCAGAATGATTTAACTAATTTAACTAGCATTTACTAAAGGGTTCTTTTCTCACATATTTAAGGTTTAAGCACTCAGCTTAATGAGATCTCAGTAATAGAAAAGAACAAAGTAGCTCAGCTACCATCTGCAGTTTTATCATCATGGCTACGTTGCATATTGTTGTTTTTTCCTAACCCGATGAGGTGAAGACTTTAAAAATAATTATAGTAATAGATAGTACCTTATATGCTGCCTGTGCTTGTTTGCAGTCATAAACTGATGTAGGTAACGATGGTGGGAAATTAAAGCTCAATGACTGTCTCATAAAAAATATCATACCCTTTTTATTTCTCTTAGCCTCCTTAAATAGGAACATGGCAAGGTTCATTCCTTATGGTCTGTAGGTGTGGATAAGAGCATTTTGCATGATATAATTGGTTTTTAGAGTTGCTGTTAGAGTGTTGAACTATATGAAATACACCTTTTTATTTTTATTCATAGTGTAGGAAAGTGTGAAAGGAAGGAATTTGCTGTATAAACAGCTAATGTTTGTAAGCATATACAGAATCAGGTACTGCTCTGTGTGCCACAGGACCTCGAAATCAGTAGCATGAACTGTTGGCAGAAGTCTCTAGTTACTGATTAACTTACAAAGACCGAAAAATAATAGAAAGGCCAGAAGATAATGGTGAGAGTCCTTAGTAGCGTTGTCTGAGACTATGGAAACGTGAACACTGGAGTAAGGCCTGGAGAAGAGGGCACCGTGCCAGCTGTGTTTAGATAAGCCTGCTGTGCATTTGAAATACAGGTACTTGAAAGCATGATTAATTCTTCCGTGGTTCATTGAGGTGAACTTGCTGTCGTCTTCAGGCCTGCCACACCAAACAAGTTGCCGCGAGGCTAGGTCGGGAAGGGAATCTCTGAAATGCTGCATGTGGTGGTAATAGCTCATGTGCATATTCTCCTCCTTTAGTGAACATGGGATGACGTGGTCCTCAGTGAAGACGAACGGGTAAACTACCATAACTTACTCAACGGGAGGATACCGGCAGAGCAGCTGTAATTCACGCTGGCAGAATAGGATGGTGTCTGTACGCTTGTGTTCATACCAGTTAACATGATTTTTAACTACTTCACAAACTGGTGACCTGAACTTACCTGGCTGTAGGCTGTACTATGATGATGAGCATCTTTTCAGGCATTGATGGGGGAAATTTGTTCCATTTAATTGGAGATGATAGTTGACAGTTGGAGGATAAATATGAACTAATGAGCTAATATTTTTATTTTGTTGATCTCTGGATTTTTCCTTTTTTCTTGGTTTCTGACACTAATAGCAGAAAATGTTTATGATGTGTTGAAAGAAGAGAAAGCTAGCAATTCTGTGTTTTTCTCCCGAATTTACCCACGTCTGTTTATTCTAATTCAAACCTGTTCCTCTGATACTGAACTACTTAAGCAAACTCAGTGATGAAAATTTATTTATCATACTTTTGAGTAAAGACCATTAAGGATTAATGGTTTGAGATTTTATAAAATACAAGAATAAATCAAACAACAGCTTGGAGGCTTTATGGATGTTATAGCCTAGGTGTAACGTGAAGTCTTTTGAGGCTTTGCAGTTTTTAAAAAAGAAACTGCTGGGATGGTTTTCCTTTTATAGTAATTTCCTTCAGTTTCTAACCTAGAATCCTCTGCAAAGTGCCTAAATGTTTGAATAAATATTTACATAGGTGAGGTCATGTTGATATGCAAGTCTCAAATCTGCTTATAAATTCCACATGAGTGGCCTAAAATATAAGCCGAAATGATATACAGGAACATTTTTGTCATTTTGTTCAGTTTATCCAAGTTTTGATTCTTGGATACCATGTTACAGTTATGATTTTCACCCTACAAAGCCACGCTTATTTGATTTTTTTAGGTTTACACTCTATGCTCATTTGCTGTACAAAACTGTGACTTAAAATTGATTAAAATGGTGTAAAATTATGTAATTGGAAGTAGGAACTCTTATTGCTGCCATTCACAGCTGTATCATTGGGTATAGAATTGAGCTTTTTTCAATTTTTATAAAATCTAAAAGTCAATTAATTTTAAATGTAGTCTGCCAGCTTAGCTTGGATCGGCGCTTCCATGTTTGGGCACACAGGCAGCCAACTGATTGCCACTGGTTTATTAAATCAATTTTGATTCTTAGATGCTTTCAGATTATGAAAGTCATTTAAGTTTCTCTGTGAACTTGAGTCACTCAAATACTACTCCATAGGAAGTGTTTGTGTGCGTGCTCTTCCTGCATGGCCCATGCTCAGCAGCTTATCCGTCGCTGTAGAGGGGAGGATATTTCACAGCTACCAAACAGGAATGTTCAGACCACAGTTGTTAGGGTGCCTGACGTTTTTTAACTTGATACCCTGAGGTAGCACTGCTGGGGCCACGTCCTTAGATACATAAGCAATCTCTAAAGATGGATCAAGGCTCAGAAATGAGCAACATCTTAAATTGCTTTAAAAATGTGCTGATATGTGGTACTGGTACTGCTTACCACACAACGTGGGCAATGGTGAAGACTTTTTAGCTAGTCCTGTTTAATCTAGTGTCCAGCCTAGACAATAATAAACAAATTCAAATACAGTTTGGGGGCAGTAGGATTTTGATCGATTCCGTTTCGCTGGTCAGGAACTTGGACATTTTTGAGTGTAACAGTGTGAGAGAAAGAAAATTTGGATTCTTCTGTTGTGTGGGGTTAGTTAAACCAGCAGATTGCTCTGGCTCTGTCTTGAGTGTCATGCTTTCAGTAGCTCTTTTGGACCAGAGTAGTATTTCTCCTTCCTCCCTGTTGTTAGAGAGCCAAATATTTATGGTGTAAATTGTTCCTTAAAACTGAGTTTTGGCTTCTGGCAGTTCCATTCTTTAAACAATCTCCTGGCATATGGATGCTTTGTTTTGCTGCTGTCTGGTTTTGCTGGTGGCTGCAACTTTCTACAGAAGTCTTGGC